TCTCAAAAAAAAAAAAAAAAAAAAAAATTTATTTTGTAGAGATGGGGTCTCACTACATTGCCCAGGCTGGTCTCCAACTCCAACTCCTGCCTTGGCCTCCCAAAGTGCGGGGGTTACAGGCGTGAGCCACTGAGCCACTGCACCCAGCCCTCACCGGGTATGTCTCAAGATGCTCATCCTCATTGCTATCTAGGGAGAAGGGGTCGGAGGGCAGGAGGGCTCAGAGACTGCTGCCCTGGGGAACAACCAAGGTGGCCTGCATGGTGGCAGCGGGCACGGTAAGAAATAGATGGAGTGGAGGAATACTTTGGTGGTGTGATACCAGAACTTGGGGGGCAGTCGGAAACAACAGATGACATGAGTGAGCCTCGTGCGTGCCTGCACTGGGCTGCAGTGTCCTCTGGGAGAAAGGCGCCTTTACCACTCATTTTTCAGCTGAGGAAAGTGAGAGTCCCCTTGGTCTCACAGGTAGAAAGTGGGGGAACCCAGACCCCAACCCAGGTCTGTGTGACACGCTAAGCCACCGTGACCCTTGGTCCTGGGGTCAACCACCTTCATGGCGGAAAGTTCTTTCTGTGGTCTTGCCTCAGTGCTTCTTGCTTCTATTTGGATCTGCCAGCCCTGACCTTCAGAAGGAAAGGAAGGAACTAAGTCATCTGTCATGGAGATGCTTGCACTGTGTGGGCAGCCCTGTGTGTGCCTGGGGCAGGCTAGCTTTTTCCCCTAAAATGATTTTTTTTTCTTTTCTTTTCTTTTCTTTTTTTTGAGATGGAGTCTCACTCTGTTGCCAGGCTGGAGTGCAGTGGCGCGATCTCAGCTCACTGCAACCTCCGTCTCCCAGGTTCCAGTGATTCTCCTGCCTCAGCCTCCTGAGTAGCCGGGACTACAGGCGCCCGCCACCATGCCTGGCTAATTTTTGTATTTTTAGTAGAGATGGGGTTTCACCATGTTGGCCAGGATGGTCTCAACCTCTTGACTTTGTGATCCGCCCACCTCAGCCTCCCAAAGTGCTGGGATTACAAGCCTGAGCCACCGCGCCTGGCCAATGATTTCTTTTTCTAATAACATGTATTTATTTATCTGAATGCAGAAAGGATTTGTGTTCATCGCAGAGTTTGAGGCTAATAGAGAGGACAGCACAGCACTGAGTGCTGAATGTAGTGCCTCAGTTTCCCCAGTATGTGGGAGAGCCGTGGAAAGGCTGGAAGAAGCCCACCCTGAGGGATCCCACAAACCCAGAGGAAACTTGATTTGTTTGTTTTTTTGAGACACAGTCTCTTTGTTGCTAAGGCTGGAGTGCAGCGGCACGATCACCACTCACTCCAGCCTCTGCCTCCCAGGCTCAAGTGATCCTCCCACCTTAGCCTCTTAAGTAGCTGGAACAGGTGTGCACCATCAGGCCCGGCTAATTTTTTTTCTTTTTTGTAGAGATGGAGTCTCATTATGTTGCCCATAGTGGTCTTGAACTCCTGGGCTCAAGTGATCCTCCCACCTTGGCCTCCCAAAGTGCTGGGATTATAGACATGAGCCACTGCACTCAGCCCACCCTGATTTTATCTGGGGTTGACCCATGTTACCTCTGCCTGCTCTTGTCCCATCTCCTGGGTCTCATTTCCTCCAGCTCCCCTGACTCAGTTTACTCCCTTCCCAGCCTCCAGGCAGGTTTCGATGATCAGGTTACCAAGCACCTCCCTGTGACTCCACGTCCCCCTCTTCTAGCTCACTACAGAGTTTTAACTGGAGCCTGAATGGGGGCCTGGGGCCTCACTGGGGCTTTGAAGCCAGAGACGTCCCATTTCCAGGTTTTGGGGGACTGGGGAGATTCAGCCCCTGACAGCTGGGGACCAACCCAGGTGATGAGTGCCCACTACCAGGGGAGAGGCGGTCCCGGACTTCTAGGGGCTGAGAAGGCTGGCGTATCTCCCCTTCTAGGCTCAAGGCTCTCCTGACTGCCCCTTGTCAGCCCTGGCCCTCCTGCCACATCTGGAGCTGGGGGTGGTGGGGGCGAGCAAGGCTTAGAGCAGAGCTGGGCTGGGCTTGAACTGGGGTGGCCCTGGGAGGGCTCTGCACACCTGTCCTCCCCTGTGAAGTGGACACAAGCCTGACCTCGAGAGTCATTGGGAGGTGCCAGAGTCAGCAAAGGCTTAGAGACCCCGGGGCCCTTCTTTGGCCTGCAGGGCCAGGGAAGGGGATGGTGTCAGGGTGACAGTCTTCAACAATCAAATGCTCCTCCTGTCACCTGCTCAGGATACCAGCCCAGCCCAGGACATCCGAACCCAGAAAGGCCTGGTCTGTGTTCAGTAAGGGCCTCTGAGACGCTCCCCGGGACGTGCAGTGCCCCGAACAATCCTGGCCAGAAAGCCGACGTTTCTGCCTTGCCCAGAGGCCACGCCACCCAGGAAGGCGGACGTGCTTGGCATCCAGCCAGGAGGCGGCTGCTGTCCCCTCTGGCTCAGTCAGCAAAGTGGGCAGCTGCCACCCACACTGCCCGGCTTGGCCAGCCACTGTCCCCATGGTGGAGGGTGTGGGGAACCTGCTGCAGTCGCTCGCCCCCACCTCTCCTGGGCCACAGGCTTCCAACTGTGTCCTTCCCAGCCCCCAAAATCCAAGCCTACTGCCCCCCGGGGAAGGCAGCCCAGGGACTCCTGCCCTGTCCCCCGTTAATTAAAATTTAACCACATGCACATTGGCCTAACCACCCCAGCGTTTAAGGGGCTTGGCTCTGCTCCTCCACTCTGAGCTGCCGTGACCCCTCGATGCCTGCCCCGGGGGGCCGTTGAGAAGACATAGGTCACTTCTTTGGCCTTAAGGTCATCCCTCAGGTCTCAGTTTCCCCACCTCACAACTCAGTAGAGGATGGAGAGGCTGAGAGTACGTCACAAACAGGGACTGGGTGGGTGGCTGGTGGGGTAGGCTCGGCTACACACAGTAGGCATTCAACAGTTGCACAAGCTGCCACTTAAAGAACACTGCTATGGGCAAGGCAGGGCTCCCACCCCCTCCCTCATTAATTTTTTTTTTTAATTTCTATTTTTGTAGAGGTAGGGTCTTGTTCTGTTGCCCAAGCTAGTCTTGAACTCCTGGCCTCAGGTGATCCCTCAGTCCCAGCCTCCTAGAACTGAGATTACAGGAATGAGCCACTGCGTCTGGCCAAGGCCTCTCACCATTTTGCAGGGAGGGCGACTGAGGCACATAGAGGTCAAGTCGGGGGTGGGGGGGGGGTCATGCAGCTCAGACTGGAGCCTGGCCCAGTGACCCCCTCCAGCTCCTCCCATTTCCACGGGGCCTGAAGTGCACAGCAGTCCCGAACGTGGCCCCGGGCAGCTGGAGGCGCTGGGGGTCTGGACCCCAAAGCCAGTCTGGCCTCACTCTGGGGCCGCGCTCCTCCGGCCCGCCAGGGAGAACCAGGGGAACCGAATTCCACTTGGAAAGCCGGCCTGGGCTCGCACTCCTGGCTCAACTACCAGTCCTGGTTAGTTGATGCCTGGTACACCCCTGGTCCCCGTTAACCGGGGCTAACGATGTCTCTGTTGCCCTTTCCGCAGCCCAGCGGTCTAAGCTGCTCCAACTCCTCTGGGGGTGGGTTTCAAGCCCCTCCGGCCACCCCCTTCTTGCAGCACCCCCAGGGACCGATGCATGCAGGGGCCACAGGCTGGCCCCTGGACCCACCGCCCTCCCCGGCCTGGGTCCCCGCGCCTTTCTGCCGCT